GGGGAGGGGTGAGGATGCAGAGCATTTCTCAATATTTCGAGATTATCCCCTTAAATTATGCTGAAAATGTTGAAAGCCTGTAATACTTTCAGCTATTAAACTGCCTATAGTGAAATATTACCTCATAGAATCAGATTATATATCGCTAACTGATCCGAATATGGTGACAATATTGCACCCTATTTTTCACTAAAATATGATCCTAAGGCTCATTCGTATTTATACCTAATGAAAAAATGACATTTTTGCGCTAATACTGTTTCCCTCATAGGAGAATAAAATTTGCCCTTCATTAATTATAGCTTTATATGTGTTCGCACCTATTACCTTCATTTCCCTTAAATGGTTAATAGAATTAACTTTAAATGTAATTTTAGGGACCGAGGGGTCCCAGGGGTCCACCTGGAGAACCTGGTCCTCCGGGATCTCAAGGAGCTCAAGGATTTTGGGGTCCTAGAGGTGAACGAGGTGTTCCTGGAGTACAAGGTCCAGAAGGCATAAAGGGTGAAGAGGTAAGATACAACGTTACTCTCTGAAATTATTATCATTAGGGTCCACAAGGTCCCCAAGGTTTGGCGGGAACTCTCGGTCTAACTGGCGAACCTGGACGTCGGGGTGACAAGGGTCGTAGAGGTGCTGCTGCCTTCGACGGCCCAAGAGTAGGATTAGATTTTACTTGTAATAAACGCTTTTGATTATTTAGGGTATTCCTGGCCCCATGGGAGTTCCTGGTTTAAATGGAACTGATGGTCCACCTGGAGAGCCCGGTCAGAAGGGAGAAAAAGGCCTGACTGTTTCTACAAATAGTGGCCCACCTGGAGATGAAGTAGGTCAAAACATCCGCGATATTTAATGTTACCACTTCCCAAATACTTAAAAATGAGTCATACCTCCGATATATGCCATTTGGCATGATTCACGTAACATTTAACAATCAATCGATATCAATTTTCTCGTTCAGGGCAATACAAACCCCCGTTTGCTGTGAATATTGCATGTATTAATTAAATTATTTTCACACAGCGGAGTGATTTTTCCTATCTTGTTATTTCTCTAGGGTGAGGCTGGTGACACCGGTGAACAAGGTGAAATTGTAAGTTTTAATTAAAAAGAAGCATTACTTTACCGGCAATCGTTCTTACAAAAATATGAACTTTTTCATTTTTGTTTAGGGTGAGAAAGGTGATGAAGGCGAACAAGGCCCAATTGGTCCTCGTGGTCCAGAAGGTGAAAAGGTATGTCTTTCTATTACTTGACCAGTGTTAAGTACTTTAGAAGAGTCCCATTCGGTCTAAGAGCAAACTAGCTGACTATTGGCTATTTGACAAAATGAGCTCCCATGCCTTTAGATCACGTAACTAAGCTGATTGGTTGTTGATTTTAGGTGCGTGATTTCGGTCATTAAATTTAACCAATTGTAACAGAGCAGTTGCGTGGCTCAAAAAAACTTAAATTCTTGTCATATCAGAACAAAGCAGAAATGCATTTTCCCTTACATGAAAACAGCGAAAAATACTATTTATAGGAAACTTGGGAGTATCTAATTAATACCATCTAATTGATTCATTCACTTCAAATGGCAGGCGTTTTGATAGTTAACCATTAGCCCTTTAGCTGACTTCGAGCTTTACCGAGAGGAGGAGAAACATTGAAGTGACAAAAAGTCAAGAGGGGAGCAGAATAATAATTAACAGACGCAAAAGAGACAGACAGACAGACACTAAGATAGAAAAATGATGAGGTGAGTGCTGTGAAAGTGGTCGAATATGACATACAGTGGGATGATGGTAGTTTGAAGTGAGAAGTCAACTGCCAGTTAAAAGACTTTTTCGCCGTATGAGTATACGTTGCCCAGTGTGCACCACGTGGAGGTAGGTCTATCGCACACCCCCCATCTAATTGATAATTTTAGCTTATCAGAGCACTAGTTACTACATGACGCAACAATTGACAAAATCCTCAAAAAAAATCTTCAAAAAGCATCGTAGTTTAAACGAAGTGGCAACTGGGAAATTCGTTGTGAACTTATTTTTATCCCATTTTGTTCTTCAGGGCAGCAAGGGTCAGGCGGGGGAACAAGGACCTGCTGGTCCCGAAGGCGTCTACATTCCCTTTTTGGTCAAAGGTGATAAGGGAGAAAGAGGTTTGGCAGGTAAAGATGGTGCCCCTTGTGGTCCAGACGTAAAATTTCCCGAAATCATTGGTATCGGGGAGCGTGGACTGGCTGGAGAACAGGTAAATCAAGTTTATGCATTTATAATCCCCATTCAGCCATTTTAGTCTATAATCAATGAGTATTATTGCATTTAGCTATCTTCCATATTGGCACTATCCCAACGATGAAAGTAACCTTCAATAATAGCATTTACCATGCACAGAAAGGCATATCATTGAACTGGAAAATGATGCCCATTTTTTGCTCTTTCAACCAAATTCGAAAATCGATTTTGATGGTATAAAACTAGACTAAAATGAAAACATTTATTTATTTATTTCAAATGGCAGGCGTTATGATAGGTATCATTAGCCCTTTAGTTGACTTCGGACTTCACAGAAAGGAAGATGAACATCCAAGTGGTAAAAAGTCGAGAGGGGACAGAATAATGATTCACAGACGTAAAAGAGACAGACAGACACAAAGGTAGAAAAAAAGGTGAGGTGAGTACTGTGGAATTATTCGAATATGAAATGCAATGGGGTCATGGTAGTCTGAAGTCTGAAGTCAACTGCCGATTAATAGACTTTTTAGTCGTATGAGTATACGCTGCCCGGGGTGCACCACGTGGAGGTAAGTCTATCGCACACAAACTTCCGGTTAATAGACTTTTTACCGTATGAGTATACGTTTCCCAGGGTGCACCACGTGGAGGTAAGTCTATCGCACACCCACCAGGGTGCACCACGTGGAGGTAAGTCTATCGCACACCCCTTGTCGGGGTGCACCACGTGGAGGTAAGTCTATCGCACACCCCACAATGAAAACATAACACAAAAAGTAATAGTGAGCTTTTAATGGGAAGTGAAAATCAATGTTATCGAATTTTAGGGTGAAAGAGGCCAGCCTGGTGAGCCTGGAGCTCCTGGAGATACTGGTCCTTCAGGTTTACCCGGATCTGTAGGACCCGCTGGTGAAAAAGGTGATCGTGGAGATGAAGGTGCTGAGGTAAATGCTATTGTCATTTATTTCAGGTCTGTGTCATGTGCGCTTTTTGAAATCCTAAATTAGATGCCTTCACATCCATTTCCTCTCTGTAGGGCGAATCGGGTGAGTCTGGTGACATTGGACCGCAGGGAGAAATGGTGAGTCATCTTCATTCCCTTTCCCTACGTCTTGCTTCCACTAATGGTAACCACTGAACATATTTGAAAACTTCAGGGTAAATCAGGCCTCGATGGTCCACAGGGTATTTCTGGACCTAAGGGTGCCCCCGGTGAACGAGGCATACCCGGTAGAGACGGTGGCCGAGGTGAAAGAGGACCTCCTGGTCCATCAGTTGTACGTAAAATTAATCCAATATAGACCCTCCATCTTGTCGGTCTCTCATCATTACAATCAGCCAAGTCCTTCTTTCTGCTTATTTTAGGTCTGGGATTGCGAAATTACCTCCACTCCGAAGGGAGAGAAGGGAGAACCCGGTTTTGAAGGTCAAAAAGGCCTTCCTGGATTGGCTGGTGAACGGGGTCCTCAAGGTCCTAAGGGGTTCAAGGGTCAACAAGGAGACAAGGGTCCAGATGGAGAACCTGGTGAACCTTGTGTTCCAGGTCCACAAGGCATTCAGGGTGAACGGGGCGAACCTGGTAAGTCTTCTACTCGCTTTCTCTTTTCAGATCTATTTAATAAGTCTCACGCGTACATCTCATCCAAATTGGTACAGAGAAGCGTGTAAATTCTAAACCTTTCATTTTTTTGAAATTCTCAAGCCTTTATCCATATTTACCATTTGGTTCTGTTGTTTTGAATTAACAAATGTTAAATTTAATTTTCAGGTCCTGACGGACAAGACGGAGAGCAAGGTGAGCAAGGTGAACCAGGGGCCCCCGGGCTTTCGGGAATTCCAGGAATTGATGTAGTGGGTGAGAAAGGTTTCCCAGGTGATTTCGGCATCCAGGGACAACAGGGTCCAAAAGGAGATGTGGGCGAAGACGGCGATGTGGGCGATAAGGGACCTCCTGGAAGCATCGGTCCAGATGGTCCTCGTGGTGAACCTGGAGATCCTGGTGAACCAGGAAAAACTGGACCCGCTGGTGAAGAAGGCGAAATCGGAGAGAAGGGTATGTCAATCAATAAGGAATAATAATCGATAACTGTGGCAGTTCACTAATACGCCCAGTGAATATCTTAAATCAAAAAATGTGGACTTCAGTATCCACTGCTTCCATTAGCCCTTCTTATAAGCCATTTCCTGATTGGGTTACACTATTTAGTCCTGCATTAGAGGTTATCTAATAGGGCTCTGATATTGATTAATGCTGAGAAAATGAAAAGCGAGTCATCTTGCCACCACAGAACTGTGCTCAATGTGCACATCTTTCGAGATCGATTCCCCGTAGTGTACACTCGGTGATTTAGATGACAAGCTATTCGCGATTATTCAAAGCTTAAAGGAAGGCGGCAGACTGTGGGTGTCTCGTGAGCTCAGTTCCAAGATAAGTTGTCCATGCCCAGGTCATGTGCCTTGGCGTTGGGGATCTTTATTATTGATCAACAGAATCGTAAATTAGTCCGACTATGTTTATTTTATCTCTACCCCCCCCCCCCTCCTCCCTCTTTTTAGGCGAAGCGTTCGATAAGAGCAATTGCCCTTACTGTGCTGATGGTCAATCTGGTCCAGAGGGTGAGATGGGTGAACCTGGAGAAGATGGTCTTCCAGGAGAAAATGGAAGCCCGGGTCCAGAAGGCCCTAGAGGTCAATCGGGTCCAGTTGGTCCTGTTGGTCTCCAAGGCGAAGATGGTGAAAAGGTGAGCTCGGCTCGGTAACTAATGTAAAGGTTATGAGATAACTGAAGAGTGCTTTACCGACATCTTATTCATGCAAATTTGAAGTAAACTTGTGCTTAGTTATTATTTGACTAGATATTAATTACACAGACTGTTAGTTCAAACAAACATATTGCTACTTCAAATTTATACAATTTACTTAGTCAAGGTCATATAGCCCGTTTAATATTGCACAAGGTAACAAACATTCCCACTTTTGAAAGATATGACACCTTATGGCAAGTTCGACCAGAATAGTTGAATGGCAGTTAACAGCTCATGAACATCTTTTAATTAATCCAGGTGATGGAGTGTGTAATTGAGATTCTGCACTATGAATTACCTAGAATGTACATATTGCATGATCCAAAACCAGATACATGGAATTCGACTCATATGTGATTTCAATTGCCTTCTCGCTAGGCTATATTAATCAACTTTCTTAGAAATGTAATTTCGGTTGTTTAATACTGGTGGCCAATTTTTAAGGGACCCAGAGGCGAGAAGGGTTACCAAGGTGAGGCTGGAGAACCAGGCGAACCTTTTGTCGTTGATGGTACCCCAGAGAAGGTTGAAGAAGGCGATCCTGGAGAAGAAGGTCCGGAAGGTCGTCCTGGCTCAGATGGAGATCGGGGACCTCAGGGGGAGGAGGGAGAAGACGGAGTCCCGGGTTCAGATGGTCCCCGTGGAGAAGAGGGTCCACGAGGCCCCATGGGTGACAACGGACCACCTGGTGATAAAGGGGAACGTGGTGACCCCGGAGAAGACATCCAAACTGCTTTTGGAGAATCTGGAGATCCTGGTGAAGATGGGGTTGATGGTTCACCTGGTGAAAAAGGTGCCAACGGTACTATTGGCACTTGTGTTCAAGTCTTTGATAGGAAGCTAGCTCAGAATGTCCTTGGTAAGAGAGCTTTACTGCCTTACATAATGAGAAGACACGAACCCCAAATTTAACCGTGAAAATGTTGCCTGTCAGATTTGCTCGGTGCAAAGGGCGAGAAGGGTGATCAAGGTGAAGCTGGACCGGAGGGTCCTCGTGGACCACCTGGAGAGAAGGGTGGTTTCGGTCAAAATGGAAAGACAGGAGATCGCGGTGAAACGGGTCCACTGGGTGAAATGGGGCCGCCAGGTGATCGAGGTCCAAGAGGTAAACAAGGCCCCCCTGGTCCCACAGGTAAAGAAGGCGAACGTGGTGAAGAACCCGATGGGCCAATGGGAGATCCTGGTGAAACAGGTCCTCAAGGTCCCAAGGGTAAGTACATTTCCACTTTGTATTCAATTCTTTTATTACCTGAATGAAAAAAATCCAATTAGGCTTATCAGAGAGTCTGGAAGCGCTTTCAGCCTGTGAACTTTTTGAAAATGCTGTAAACCAGATGAACTGTAAAACATAGTAATCAGTGCCAGAATTTTTAGAAATACTTAAAATTAACAAACCGAAAGAACAAAGAATTGAACAGTGACGTAAGTGCTCAACTCCTTAGAGAGTTGAAGAGGGTTTCACACGCGGGAGGTATGAACAGATCACTCTACATAAGTTGATTCACCTCAGGTCCAAACGCTAATGCTTGCTTAAAGTAGGCAATGTCATGTGACAATGTCGTAGTTCAATGCATCCAATGCATTTTCTTCAAAGTGTTTCCAATTTTTCCACGAATCATGTATCTACAATGATTGGCTGACCGAAATCAATTGTGTGTAACCACAATAGAAGGAATAAAGTAATTATAAGAAAGGGCAAAGGGAATTCATTTGCTTATCATTAGTATTTATTGAAATGAATCCATAATTTTTGTTCAAATTATTTTAGGCGAAGCTGGTGAACGGGGTGATGTTGGATCCCGTGGAGGCCCGGGAGAGAAAGGAAAGCCCGGAGCAACAGGTGATCCTGGTCCAGACGGAGCAGCAGGTGAGCAGGGTCCAGTTGGTCCACAGGGCGAGCCTGGACCCGCTGGAGAGGACGGTGAGGTTGGACTACAAGGACCCCCAGGTGACAAGGGATTTCCCGGCGAAGCCAGCACTCCTGGTGCGCCCGGTGAAACTGGAGAACCTGGTCCACAAGGAGAACAGGGGCCACAGGGTTATAAAGGTCCCGCTGGTGATGATGGTCGTTGTGACATTGCAGGTATGGCTGTCTACGAAGGTCCAAAACCAAGGGTAGGTAATGAAGGCGAACAAGGTGATATTGGACCTGATGGTGAAGAAGGACCTGAGGGAGAACCTGGAGCTGAGAGTGGTGAGGAGGGTGAACAAGGACCCCAAGGACCTCCTGGTGAAAAAGGTGACCCTGGACCTGTTGGCGAGGTCGGTAATGAAGGTGCACAGGGTCCACAAGGTAATCAAGGACCACTTGGGCCCCAAGGACCTCAAGGACCCGACGGAGACCCAGGAGAGGAAGGAGAGCCAGGGACAGAGAAGGGCGATCCGGGAGAGCCTGGACCCTATGGTCCAAAAGGTCCTCGTGGACCTCCCGGAAAGGCTGTGGAATGTCCTAATGGTGAGCCTGGTGTGGATGGCGAGGTGGGACCAAAGGGCGAGGTGGGCGATCAGGGACCTGAAGGTGAACCTGGTAAGGATGGAGAGCCAGGTAAAGATGTCGTTGGTCTGGAAGGAGTCCCTGGCGAAAAGGGAGAAACTGGTGAGCCAGGTGATCCTGGTCCCGATGGTGACGATCCTGTTGATGGTGAAGTTGGTGATGTTGGGGAAGAGGGCATCGTTGGCGAAGAGGTATGCAGAGTCTTGATTTTTAACCAACCGTCTACAAGTTATAGATTTATCAGCTATTTCTGCATATAAGGATCAATTATAATCCTAATTCCAGTGTGTCGATGAAACAGCGGTTAACTTTCTCCCTATAAAGTTAAAGGTTACTGTTAGTTACCTCTTTGTGCTAATCAAGTATGCAGGATATCTAATTATACAGGCGAATTGAAACTAATAATGGAATCGACAGAATTTAAATTTCTCACCTATCAAGTTCCACGAATCTGTTCTTTACTCTAGAATCTTCTTGAACGAACATGAAGGTAGCAAACTTTTAACTCGTCATTTGATTACTTCCACCAGTGCCCTTTCTACGATTAAGAAGAGAACTGAAAATGAATTATTGGATGAATTTAGCTAACAAGAAAAGCTCTTAAGGACATCTACTCACTATGAGGTTTGAAAATCGATTTTCCCTTCGCGAAAAAAAACGATCAATGATTCATGTTATAAATACTGGCATAAAAACCAAATGTGTTTTTGTTTCTACCAATCATAATAGAAGCCCCTTTCAATTTTAGGGTGACACGGGTGCAGTTGGAGAGATGGGTGAGGATGGGCCTGAAGGAGAACAGGGCCTGAAGGGTCCGGTGGGAGAAGAAGGTGAAGACGGGCCAATGGGTGAGGAGGGAGACGAAGGTGACGAGGGAGAACCGGGTGGAGACATAACTCTCCAGCAAGGTGAACCCGGTGAAACTGGACCTCAAGGCCAAAAGGGCGAAACCGGACCAGAAGGCGAAGTTGGTGATCAGGGTGACCAAGGCAAGTTCACCATAATTTAATTAATCTAAGGAATTTACATTTAAGATAATTAAAGTATACGATTATCTATATTGTTAGGTCCCCCGGGTCAAGATGGACCTCCAGGACCAATTGGAATACAAGGAGAAGACGGAGAAGTTGGGGAAGATGGAGATGAAGGTGAACAGGGAGAACCTGGCAATCAAGGTGAGCCCTATTTCATTCGCATTTCAGTCCTAAATTAATAAGTCATTTGGAACCATCTCAGTAATCCCTAGGTAAATTGAAGGGAAATGTTTCTAGCTTCTCGGCAATTACATGGCGCTCATGAAGGTTTTAATCTATTTACTGGAACCCCGTGTTTCCCTGAGAGAAAGATCTCAAATCTTTTAATTAATTATTGCTTATTATATACACCTAATCGCAATTACTTTCTCTTCATTAACTCCTATCGACCTTTAACATTTTCGTGATATTTTTTGAGATAATTAGCCAAGAAAAAGGTCAATGTATTTTGCAAAAAGAGGCCAATATTACAGTGGACATAATTAAAGGCCTCAGATTGAATTTCTCATTCGGATTGTTGTTTGCCTTAATTCATAAGTGGATTATTTTGAATATTGACAAGCGCATCTAGAGTAAACCCAACCCCCCACCCCCCCCCCACACACGCACACTAAAATAATTAGATTTCATACTTGTCACACACACAATTTTTAAAGTGATTATTGAATTCATGATGCATATTTTAGGGAGAATTAAAATATTTGTAGGGAGGGGAAGAGAGAGAGATATGCGTGTATTTTTTTACCTGAGTGGAAAAATTCTTATCATGATGGCCTGATGGGGTTAAGCAGAAATGCCGCGGAAGTCGACAGGTGTTGATTAGGTCTTACTGTGTGGGGTCACATAAGAGTGGGGGGGGGGAGGGCTCGAATAGTTTTTTTCTTGGTCAATCAGGATGTAGAAATCACGTCTTAATGCTACTAAGAAATTTTAGTTAAAGTCCTACCCAAGTACTTACAATTTTTAATAAAATATGAAATCAGGATATCTAAATTTGTATATTTAAATAGTTTCTTCGTCTTGTTGTGCTGAGTCATAAACATGCTGGAAATTCAAAGCAGTAAAAATCGATATTATTTAAGTGCATCAATTCGGTGAGTTTCTCTCAAAAGCAATGAAAATGTTCGCTTCTGTTGTCTAATAGGATGGGTTACAGGTTATTCATCCCTGGCATAGTAAGTAGGAAATTGGATACCAAGTCGCATAATATTCTCCATTGTTGTAAGTGCAAGTTCTATCTATCAGGCATTGCCCACCAACGAGAAGTTGGTAAAAAAGTGAACTTTCCGTATCTAACAACAGAAGAGTGCTGTGGAGTTTACGTCAATGCTTATGAAATTGTTATTTTTCAGGTGAACATGGTATTATGGGGCCAGAAGGTGATGTGGGGGAACGTGGAGACGTGGGTATCAATGGACCTAAGGGTCTTCCCGGTCCTCAAGGGGCCAAAGGTCGATCTGTTATCACTTGTCCCGCTGCCCTTGGTGGCGAAAAGGGCGTCAACGGGCCCCCTGGTTCACGTGGACCTGGTGGCCCCCCTGGTGAGCCCGGTGAGTTTGGTATCAATGTTATTTAAGAATAACAAAATGGAGTCATACATTAATTTTTTCATTGATATTTTCTAGGTATGGATGGCGATCCCGGTCCGAAGGGAATGCAGGGTGAACCCGGTTTGGGATCCCCAGGAGAGCCGGGTGAAATCGGCTTGGTTGGCCTATCTGGCAAAACGGGTGAGTATATACTACTAACAGAAGTATGAGTAAGATGCAAGTGCATTTGGTAATAGGGATGGGAGTAGTCATTGCCAAATGTTTTCACATACACGCACATAAATGTGGCCGTTAGGGGCATCGATTTTACGATAACCACACAGACGAGAGGAGCCTGTGATTGGTTGTTCGATGCCTCCCCTACCCCTTGCGTGTGGTGCGATGTGGTTGTGCGCGTCCGAGCCACCTACATGCAGTAAGTGGTGCCACAGTTGATGTCTCCGATAGCTACTGTTGGTTTGGGATTTCAACAAGAGGCTGGTTCCGCGAACTCTCGTTCATACTCCTGGATATATGCGTTCCACATCGCCCTATGACTCAGTCTTGACAGCCCTAGAGCAAACATAATGTCCTTTTTACCGGTGTGGGGCTAATTCATGTTCAATCAACCTAGAATGGCTTGGTTCTGTAAGTATGAATACGGTTTTTTACCATAACAGGGAAGTTAATTTTATAGAAACGCATAATAATTAGTTGTTTTATATTCATCTTACATTACCCGATAATTACTGAATTTCTGACTCTAACAGTTTGATCTTTTAATTTAATCAGTTAATAAGCTGATCATTGATATTAACAAAGGGAATTTCTCAAGCTGTTCGGTTTAAGAAAATTAATTTTAATATTCTTAATTATTTACGTGAATTAGTTTCAACATAGTGAAATAAAAATATAGAGACTTCTGTATAAATATCAGAAAAAACGATAACAAATGTTGAATGAATTCAATGTAAATGAATTACACTTCACTCCAACAAGTAATTGCAACGGTCAACCATACTCCATGATATTATGTGATAAATTTTGATTATATAAATATATAAATTGATTGCGGGAAAATAACAAACATCTGGAATTTGTGCAATTCTAAAATCACCGATTTTAAATGAAACTTTCATCTTTATGAGGGACCGGTTAAAGAGTTCATTTAGTTTCATTTCAATTTTTTCCCATTTTTTGAGTTATGCCAACTATTTTGATTTCATTCAAGGCTAGTTGTGTAACCTATACAAACCCAATGTCATCGAAATGCCCAGAATGTTCCTCTTCCCTTTTACCCAATTTCCACCCCCCCCCCTTTCTTCTGCGGTACAACCTGTTTTGCAAACTACGGGGGTACACTTTTGGGGACCTCGCATTTCTAATTTTTTTCTTATTTAAGATATAAATTATGCATTTACTGTATAGCATTAGTAGGCATTTGTACGCACATTTGGCCTAAGCACTGGACAGTGCGCGCAAAACAGAAGAACCAATAAGAGAACTGCGGTCAGTTGACAGCAATTTCGGCATTTGATTGGCTAGTTCGGCTAAGCACATGAAACTAATATTTAGGTGGATTACGTAGATGCGATATTGCCTCATCAACGTCATAGAAAAGTGATGTCCTTACTGGGAGGGAATTAGGAATCTTTTGAAAAGAATTACCTTTGCATGGAATTTCATTGCCTCTTCAGGTTTAAAACGTTGAATCAGTATATCAGTATATATTTATTTGAGGAGAATGAGACTTTTAGAAAGTGATAATTTAATGGACGTAATTTGTGCCGATCTTTGATCTTTGCTACTTTGTCTGAAGTTAAGCGGAGAGCACACCGAACACCGATTGGCTTACGTGAAATCAAATTTGGTTTACTGATAGCTGGTGGAAGCACAATTGCGGACGTGTAGAATTGGAGTATGATTCCTTGATTGTCGAGTTGTTCTTTATAACGAAATTGGCCGTGCATACTAAAGATGATCATACACGAATACATTTTAGCTGTTTTCTTTCCACTTGGCTAGAACCTAAACAGGAGGTTTAGTACTGTCTGTAATTATGAAAAGGCATTGAAATATGACTTCACTGAGGTGTATTTAACAGTATCGAAGGCGAAATACCACGGATCGTACTTTATTTAAAATAAAGAGAATGCAGTGTTCATGTTCTTAGAAGTTGAAGCATTTATTCTGCCACCTTCATCATTTGACTAAAATGGCGAAATATTTATGATGGCTGATTAAAAAGATACGATACATTTGCCCTTTACCAGCATCTCACAGTAAGCCAGTTTTTTTTCTACGAGTTTGTCTGTTTTGGCGAGTATTGTTTCTTGCTTATTCTACAACAAAGCTATTTTGCAAGAATTCGATTTTTTTTCTAATATTGGAGCCACCAAAATTAGTTCATTTCAACTTCCTCAAGAACGCAATAGTCCACGCTTATCTTAAGACATAGATTCCATTCGAAAAAAAGAATTCCTTGAGCTCATTTGTTCAAAAAAGTTTACCAGTTGTCTTTTCCACCACAAGTACCGTTTGAGCACAAGCATTCCAGTAGCCAAATTTGCAGTTATCTCTGAGGCTATGACTGCAATTTGCATCAATTTGTTCTTTGCACCATTAAAATATTTGAACCGTCATGTCTTTTATAGCTTAATTTTAAGGGTGAGTGTCTTTAAATTCATTGATTTTCATGAAAGAGTGATGCGAATTCTTCTTCAACTCCACGGCCATTTACTTTGCGGATCAGTTCCAGCTTTTTATGAAAGAAGAATAGTTATGCAAAAAAATTGTGCAAGTCTAAGGAATGCGCTTTGCGACACGGATATATATATATCCCCGTGTATGCACCTGTAACATTGAAATCTAGCCAAAACCAGACAGTTTAACTGAGTGCAATATTGATCACCTAATTAAGTCAATTGGAGTAATGAAGGGATACTAGTAATGTCAATATTAGACTTTTGTATGACAAAATGAAATTCCTTACCTTATCAGGAGAACCTGGTGACCCTGGAGAAGCTGGTGAGCCATCAGTTGCCCCAGAAAGAGGCGCCCCTGGAGACGAAGGTCTGCCAGGTGAAGAGGGCGATCAAGGTGAACCTGGACTTCCCGGAAAGGATGGAGAACCTGGACCTCGTGGCGCTGATGGCGAGTCCGGCCCTGATGGAAATCCTGGTTTGGCTGGTGAGGACGGAGCTCCTGGTCCAGACGGTGAAGAGGGTGACTTTGGAGACAGTGGAGAACGTGGAGAAGAGGGTCCAAAAGGTGAAGTAGGTCCTCAAGGTCCCCAAGGTCCAAAAGGTAATAAAGGAGCTTCTGGCTTTGCTGCTGATGGAGAACAAGGTGATGTGGGTGATGAGGGAGAGATGGGGGAAATTGGCGAAACTGGAGAGACAGGACCTCAAGGTAATCAAGGACCTCCCGGAGATGCTGGTGAAAAAGGACAAGAAGGGACCTTAGAAGGACCTCAAGGACCTCCTGGAGATCAAGGAGAGACCGGTGATGAAGGAGAAGAAGGACCAAAGGGAGAAACCGGACCCCCTGGTGAGCGAGGACCAACTGGACCAATTGGACTGCCTGGTCCTACCAACTACACGAATGTATTATTTTCCAGGCACTTCCAGTCGGATGAAGGACCATTCGAATGTCCAACGGGAACCCAGTTTGTCTACGACGGATACAGTTATCTTATGGGTGGTGGTGTTGACTATCTTCAAAGTATGGACCTTGGAACTCCAAGTTCGTGTCTTCGAAAGTTCAATACTCACCCAATGACTGCCTGTGAGAGTGGCAGTATTTGTCACATTAATATGCGTCACGAAAGATCTTACTGGTTAGCCACACTGAAGCCTTTTACCGAAGAACCTTTGCCGATTGAAGAACTGGATGGTCGTATTTCTCGATGTGTCGTTTGTGAAGCTCCAACACACGTCTTCGCTTTCCATAGTCAAATTGGAACTCTCACGCCATGTCCAAATACCTGGACGGAACTATGGACCGGTGTTAGCCTTCTCCTGGTGTGCTTCGCTTCCTAACTAAGCATTTTAGTTTTTAGATAGGAAGTTATAGTTTAAATGTTTTTTGTGTATTATTTCAGCACACATCAGGATCATTTGGAGGTGGCCAGCCATTATCTTCTCCAGGAAGTTGCCTGGAACATTTCCGTCACTCTCCAGTCCTCGAATGCAATAATAATGCCGGAACTTGTCATTACTGGAACGATGCGAAGGTGTACTACCTTCGTTCACTCCCTGAGAGTACAGAGGAGCAGTTCTCTAAACCTCTCGGTTTGACCCTGAAGGCGGGATCCGGACCCACAGTGGATAGTGTTAGCAAATGTCGAGTTTGCATGAAAGTACCGGTCTAGGAATTTTGCAGAAATTTCAACACATCATAACCACCTCATTTACTAAAATCGATACCAGTGCTAAATCATCATCATCACCATCATAAACATGAACTATAATTTAATTACTGTCCTCTATTAGGCTCTTTTTGTCTCATCAGAATATCTCCTTCCACACGCTTCCTCCTTTTACTTCCCTCCCTTGACCCATTGTACGTGTCTATTGCCTTTGAAATGCAAAGAGTTTTCCTGTTAGATCATGTGATTCGTTTTTGGCAGTTTTTGTTTGAATATTTCGTTCATTTACTGGGGAGCTCTTTGTTTTTGTCATTTTAGAGACACCGTCTACATGCTGGCCGTAAGTTTACCTGGAAACAGGCGGCCAGTAGGCGGCTCCCTACATCAGCGACGCCAATTCGGCCTCGGTGTCTCTGGAATGATTATATTGAGTCTGATTTTACTTGTCCAAATTCCCCAAACATCATCGGTTTGTTCAATTTTGAAGTTTTCATTTCTCCCCATTTCTAGCAATTTTCTCCAAGTCGAGAGTGTAACGTTGAGTGCTACCAAGATAAGTGTCGATGTGTGGCTCCTCAAGGACCAATGGTAAGTGGGTCAAGAGAAAGTGATAACTGGTATCCTCTTCTAGGGTCCGCCTGGAGCACGCGGTCCACCTGGTGTCCCTGGTCCTAAGGGCTACCCAGGAGAAATTGGTCCTCTTGGACCGAAAGGCCAACGTGGATTACCTGGTGTTGACGGAATTCCTGGAATGCCGGGTGAAAGAGTAAGTGGATAAAAGATATCTGCTCTGTCAGTGAAGACTGATTGTTTTACTTGAAGTGGCATTTATTTTAGGGTCCACCTGGTGATTTTGGTCCCCCTGGTCGTCATGGTGAACATGGTGACGATGGTGCAATAGGTGACCCCGGAGAACCTGGTCTTCCTGGTTGTGATGGTCCGCCAGTAAGTGGAATAAACTTTTTACTTTCCATAAACTCTCTCTCTCTCCCCAAAAAGAATTTGCTGATGGATTTTTGTTTAATAGGGTGATCCTGGACCACCTGGTATTCCTGGTCGACCTGGTGTTGATGGTCCAGCTGGTTTCCCTGGTGATCCTGGTGACAGAGGTGATCCTGGCGATTACGGAAGTGGACCTGTTGGCCCTGTTGTGAGTAGCTCTCCTCATTGAAAATCAATAGTCTAAGTTAATGGAAATAATAAAAATATTCAATTTCCACTATAGGGTGAAAAAGGTGACAGAGGTGAAACTGGTATTCCTGTAAGTTTGAAAGCAACTGTCTTTTATGCCTGGGATTCTAAACAAAAAAACTAAAAAATGCCAAATCCTTTTAATTCAAGGGCGAGAAAGGTCGGCCTGGCCCTCCCGGACCTGCTGGACCAATGGGTGTTGTCGGTGATCGAGTAAGTGATCCAATTCGAAATAACCAATTCGAAGCATCATATATATATGTGATATCTTTGTCTGGAGTGTTCAATTTCCGATAAATGTCGAAATCAGATATCTGGTTAAGGAGTTTAATGTCGTGAACTAATCTAGCATATTAAGAGTTTAAATTTGCACTCCCACTGTTAATGAAACGACATTAGGAGCATGACTAAAGTTTATTCGGTAAAAGGAAGTAGAGGGGAAAAAAGAGTGGGTTTGGAGGAAGAATTCAAATTTGGAAGGAAATGTGAGCAAGCTTCAAGGTCGAGCAAATGGAGGCAAAGCTGTGACTGGGAATAGCATTGACGACTTTGCGTTCCCTTGTTCGCCCGGTGATTGACAGAGTAATTAGGTGCTAACGAGCTCGTTTCCATCGTGAATACTACGAGTTAAGTGGCGGTTAAAAGTCAGATGGCGAAAATGTGAAGATAATCTGAGCTGAAGTAAAATAATGCTTCAACCAATCCAATTGGTTTTATGATAAAATATTGATTTTGTAGGGTCCAGATGGTCCAATCGGTTCTCCTGGTCCTCCTGGTGATCCTGGAGATCCAATTGTTGACAAATTCCCAATTAAGGGCGAACGTGGCCCTCCAGGTGACCCTGGTGACCCGGGTACAGATTGTGAGGCCTCTCTTCTTCTTCCACCACCTATCGACACCCAAGGACCCGCGGGAGATCGCGTATGGGAAAGAGCCTTTTTATTTGTTGTCCCCCCCTTATTTTGTCCTCCTAGTTGTGTTTACTTACTTAATCGATTTCAGGGTGATCCTGGTCAACAAGGCTATACTGGTGCTAAGGGCGATCCAGGAGACAGAGTAGGTGTCACTTTCTTTCAGTTTTAACCTCAACATATTTAAGTGTATAATCGCAATTTTTTGATATTTCTCTATAGGGTGTCCCTGGGCCTATGGGTGAACGCGGTCCCAAAGGTCAACCTGGTGTTCCTGGACCACATGTAAGTGAAATAGTTTCAAAAGTATCAATTCAATGGGACATTCGCCTTGTGGATTAATACTTTTTTGGTGAATAGGGCCCCAAAGGCGAGAAAGGTCGGCAAGGTGCTACTGGTGCAAAGGTAAGTTGTAAATCGGCCTTTCCCTTGAAAGAACTTCTGAGGAGGACAAATTTTGCCTGCTTATAGGGTGCTCGTGGTCGTGACGGTTTAATTGGTCCCAGAGGTCCTGCTGGTCCTAAAGGTCTTCCTGGAGAACCTGGTGAAGATGGTCTTCGCGGTCCTCCTGGTGAAGCTGGTCCACCTGGTGTGAGTTCAATTTCCACATTATCTACTTTAAAATAGTGCTAAACCTGCTGGTAAAGCTAATCTCTGAGTTGCAACAATGATTCAGGCTTAGAAGTCTCCTTCAAAGGGAATAATCCTTGCAGGGCACTGCTACTCTCCTCTCTTGAGGAGACTATGGGTTGAGTTGGAAAAGATTGATGAGGTCAAGGACAGATGCGTCAGTGTCGTGTGATTTAAGCCCCGGTTGTGATATGGGGAACATATTCGGGGGGTACAACTTTGACAGAATTTGTTTGGCAGGTCACTTGTTATATTCCGCACATTCGGCTTCTAGGCGAGAAATTCGAGTTAAACCTGGTCAGTGGAACTTCGTCCTGTGTTGCACTTTCAAATGCTCCCCCCCCAGTCAGTGATTAAGTTATCTAATGTGGCAATTAATTGGTTCCTCCATATTGATTATGATGCATTGAAACTACTGCCAGGGATCTAGACTACCTCCTGAATATGATAAGTGAAGCTACTTAGATGGGCAGACAACACATGTATACAAACTTGTCTTTTGCAGAAAAGAGCTTACAGCTTATCACGGATTGGCTAATTTCCAGCCGAAATTCGTTTGCCAAGGCCAACATGCGCTTTATTAGTAGAGAGGTCGGGAGCAGAAAGATGTCTTGTTTATCGTAAGGACAGTTATGCGGTGTTTCACGCAAAAAGATAGGGAAAAAGTAGCCATGAAATTGGTGAGAAGGGGAGGGGGAGAGAGGGAGAGGGAGGAGGGCGTCTAAGTGAAAAGATGTGGGGTGTATGGAGCACTTGCTAACAGTGTCAAATTCATAGACTGACTGCCTACTGTCGTGATTGAGTTTGTTGGTAGGTAGTCACAATATATTCACGCGATTTCCGTAAGACTTCTCCCCGATTTAGTCCAAAACAGTTCGTATCTACACAGTAACATTTTTGTGAGTGCCGTATTGTTGAGAAAGATGGTCTTATATGTCATTATCAAATTCTAATGATCGAAATTAATTAATTTTAATGACCAATCGATTTCACTTTCAAGGGCGACAGTATCTGTACTGGTATCCTTCAAGGCCGCCCTGGTGAACGTGGTCCCTCTGGTGAACAGGGCTCCCGCGGCCCTACAGGACGTGATGGTCTTCGTGGCGAACCTGGTCCGAAAGGTTTCCGTGGTCCTGCTGGTTTGGTCGGCGACACTGGTCCCGACTGTCCTGTTGGACCATCTGGAATTCGCGGTCCTAAAGGTGAACCAGGTCCACCTGGTTGTGATGGTGAAAAGGGCTACCAAGGCCCACCTGGTGAAGAAGGTCCTCAAGGCGATCCTGGAGAACCTGGAATTGGCATTCGTGGTCCCCCTGGTGATCCTGGTAGCCCGGGTCCTGTTGGTCCCAAAGGTTAGTAATAATTGTGTCCCTTTGGAATTGCTCTGTGGCGGGGAGTTGAGTTTTTGTATTACGTTGCCCCAATCGAAATCTAAATTTATACTGAGTCAAGTTCTAGCTTCTGAGTTGAAAGTAGATTAGGAAGTAATGACTCAACTTTTAGAGAAATCCCTTTTAATGGGTCAAGGACGCTGTCCAACAACTTCATTCATGTTAATTTGAGTTGACTCTCACTTTCTTGAGTCTCATTATCAGACCTGGTTCGACGACGTTTGTCAAATTCCAGACAACTAAAGCAACCTTGACACGTAAGTGCCTCCTTCTCCTTAAAGTAGCCTAAGTAATGTATAGACATTAAGCAGGACTTGATTGGTAATAGGCATATTTATTTTCTCATAATCCATTAGTTTTGTTCACAGTTATCACCACCAATCGATGTTTATTGATAATTACAGGTCCCCGTGGTCCAAAGGGTGTGAAAGGTCCTCGCGGTCCTCCTGGAAATAAGGGAACAGGTCGTCCCGGCCCCCCGGGAGACAAGGGCGAGAAAGGTCTCCCCGGTCTTGACGGCAAACCAGGAAAACCTGGTTCCAAGGGTGAACAGGGTCCCCCTGGTGAACCCTGCAATGTCTGCAAACCCGGAGCACCGGGTCCAAGAGGTGAGAAGGGCGAACCTGGTTATCCTGGTGCTCCCGGTCAGCGTGGGCGTGATGGTCTGCCCGGAGAACGTGGTGAACCTGGATCTGTTGGTAACCAAGGTCCACAAGGTCCTCGTGGTCTTGAAGTAGGTGGTCCTGTTACTTTCATTATTTGAATTTTAAAGCCTTACCGATTGTTTTACAAGGTTTTTCTCCTTCCCTAGGGAGATCCTGGTGAACGGGGTCTTATGGGTCCAAAGGGTATCAAGGGATTGCCTGGTTCCTCACGAACTGAGTACGTCGATACAATCAAGGGCGAAAAGGGATACCCTGGTAAACCTGGTCCTGATGGTGAAAAGGGTTTCCAAGGGCCCCCTGGTGAACGCGGGCCTCTTGGTGAACCTGGACTAATGGGACTTCCTGTAAGTCGATACTCCATTCGTATTCATGTCTTTGCGTGTCTCAGTGTTCATTATATCTCGCTTTATTGATTTTTAGGGTGATCAAGGCGAAGCTGGTCCGACAGGCAGTCCTGGACCGAAGGGTCGCCGCGGTGACAAGGGTCCCAAAGGTCGACCAGCCGCAATGGTTGTGGGAATGAAAGGTGAAAAGGGTCGACCCGGTATACCAGGCAGAACGGGTCCGCCTGGTGACATCGGTGAACCAGGAAATTGCACTATCTACCACCAGCGCAGTGATAACATGACAAGTAAGTGAGACAAAATAACCCAATATCACTTGAATGGGATTATCTACCTAGTTACAAAATAGATGGGTCTATACCTCCATGCTACGATAACAGCAGAAAATCGAAATTCGTATGGCGAGTCAAGTCAGCCTGAGAGACATTCCACGTCTACAGAGACTCGTAAAGAGAACTTGCCAATGCTTAATATATTTACTGAATCATGAGTACGGACGCACTTTTAAATTAATTGGGGGTATGAAAGCCTTTGACGTCTAGTCAAATGGTCCCAAAGATTGGACCATGTCTTGAGGGGGGGGGTTGGGGGGAAGGACGAAAACCCAACGTACATTTGCAGAGAAAGTAATCTATGGTAAGTTTGTAGGGAGCAAATTCACACACTAGTCGGTATAAATAAAATGACACCAGCCCAGAGAGATTCACTCAAAACTTCAAGGTTGTCTTTGCAGGCTTGCATGAATTTGAGCAGGATGGTTAATGTTTTCTCTGTCTTGTTTGATTAACAGCTGAGAGAGGTGAAATAGGCCCCAAGGGCGATCGAGGCGACAGAGGTCCTCCTGGCGAACCTGGCAAACAAGGTGAACAGGGTCCTCCTGGCGATGATGGCCAACGTGGAGGTAGAGGTCTACCGGGTGATCCTGGACCTCCAGGCCCAAAGGGGTCCATGGGACCTCCTGGAGATGTCGGAGAACCTGGAGAACCCGGACCTGAGGGCCGCCGTGGATTGCCTGGACCCTCAGGAATGAAAGGAAATAGGGGTCCGTCTGGCGATTCCGGACCTAGAGGTTAGCCAATGACAAGGCTTAAGTGAAAATATTTAATTTTAGGAGTAAATTTGCCGTTTTCTTTTACTCTGAATAGGTCCAAAGGGTTTCAAGGGTCCACCCGGTCGATCTGGACTTGGAATCAAGGGAGCAGAAGGTCCACCAGGTTTTGATGGACCAAAGGGAGATCTTGGTGAACCTGGAATTCCTGGAGAAATGGGACCAATAGGTGAACAGGGTAAGTGCTCAATTTCCTTTATAAGCATAGTGCATTCTCTTTCAAGAAAAGGTGTGAGCTGAACTCAAACGTAATTCTATGGAGAATCCCCTTATTGTACTCTTATTGCAAAATAGTTAGCTATCAAAATTAAGATGGTGATTAACTCTGTTTTATTAATTAAATATTATTATGCGTATGTGAAACCAAGTGACAAATTATTATTGGTCCGAGGTGGGGAGGAGAGGGGGGGGGGTAGAGATTTAATGGAGAGCATTAGTCTACTCGTGGTCTCACTCATGTCTTGCTTCTTGAATGCGTTCGCGCAAGTTTTGATGCCGGTTTCATAACAGCCATTCTGATTGGCTGGTGAGATGACAAGTATTTACCTCTCCGGTTCATCAAGGAGGCCACCATAAATGCTTCTTACCAAATTATGAATGCCATAATACTTTAATGCTACTGTCATTTATCACTAATTTCATTAACTTGAAGGACTAAATATCCCATTCATTGCTTCTCCGTCTCCAAATAATTGCCAACTTCCTACTTGTGCATTAGCAAATTCCCAGTCCTTTAGATTTAACTCAGGAGATTATACCACATAAACACACTTCGCGAAGGAAACAGATTAACCACGTTTTTGTATTAAAATCCTCCTATAGCGGTTCTAATGTCTGAGATTTTTTCAGGTGAGCCAGGAGAACCTGGTCTACCGGGTATTTCAGGACCTATGGGTCCAAAGGGTGACCGTGGTGATCAAGGTCCAAGCGGTGGTCAAGGGCTTCAAGGTCCCCGTGGTGAGCAAGGTGATCCAGGACCTGCTGGTAAGTTGATGCACTCTTCTTTCCCCTCTAATCGATTGATTACGTTTACGGAATTAAGTAATTGATCGTCGCTATCCATTTAAGGTCCATTGGGTGACCCTGGAGAACCTGGTGACCCTGGTACTTGCATTGGTACCCCCCAAGAAGGCGATAGAGGTGATAAAGGTGAACGAGGTGCAGTTGGACCTCAGGGACCCCAAGGACCTGCAGGAGAACCCGGTGAACGCGGTCCAACTGGACCAGAAGGATTTCCTGGACCGAAGGGACAACAAGGACCTCAAGGTCCGATGGGTCCCACTGGTCCTGATGGACCAGCTGGTGAGACAGGAGATCCAGGACCTGCAGGACCCGAGGGTCCAAAGGGCAGACCTGGTCCACGCGGACCTTCTGGACCCATGGGTACATTAATTTAGCATATTATATACATATATATATGTGTGTACGTATGTATGTGTGTTGACCCAACGGCTATTGCCATTAACTGTCACCGGTTTCCAGATATCCAACTTCCAGATGTGAGCAATGGTTGGAACAGTTAAGGAGTTGAAGAATGAGGTGGCATGATGAAGAAAATTTGGAGAGAACTTTAGAATTCATCATGTAGTCGCCCCATGGGTCGGATGATATAGGCAAAGTGAAATATATGATCATCCAGCTGCTTTACTTGAAGTTTAAGCAAATGCAAAATCGTAAAACGAATTTAAATTATTTTGTAGTTCAAATTAAATTTTGCAAGATTTTAGACGGAGTCCCGCTTCAACATGACATTGCGAAAGTTTAGTCCTAAGAACAGCCTTTGCGTCCATTGTTGTCATACAAGTCTTGATACTATTGTTAGAGAAGCTTTTCTAGAGAATTTTCTTCATCAAATCTCGATAAAATTCTTTACTATTTTTATCTCTAACCCCCTTAGTTCAATAAATTAATCAAGCATCTCTTTTTTATGCAAGGACCACAAGGTGACCGAGGTCCTGCTGGTGACCCAGGTCCAGAAGGTGAACCTGGTCCTGACATGATTGGTGTTCCTGGAGAGGTTGGTGATCCTGGAGAACGCGGACCTCCTGGACCGAAGGGAATCATGGGTAAACCTGGTCGCCGAGGTCAAAAGGGTGAACCTGGTCCCGATGGGGTTGGTATTCCTGGTCTTCCTGGTGAAAGGGGTGAGACAGGAGACAAAGGCTTGCCTGGTCGTCCTGGACTGTCTGGTGGAATCGGTGAAAAGGGAGAGAGAGGTCCTACTGGTGAACAAGGAGATCGAGTGAGTCATCGCATTCTTGACTATTTGATCTACTAAGCCTTAGTTGTTGTAGTAGATGGTAATCTAGAGATTAGGATAATACAAAGTTTATTGAATAAAGGATTTATGCCATGGGAAGTCAAAATAGTACCGTACAAGTGTAGCCAATCGGAATGCAAATGAATGGCCACACTTTGACAAACCACACTAAATGAGAAGATAAACAGACAAATTGAATAATGTCGCGATTGAATAATCTATGTCATTTGAAGAGCGGTGACAAAGGGACGAGGAAAAGATCGATTTGAAATATGAGACACAAAGGAACGTTTAAGAATTGAATTAATTGCAGTCAATCTTTCTATTTTATAGTTGATGGAGATAAAAGGTTAATTAGGTTAATAATTTAGAAGCAGGCATATAAATTCTTGCTCACGTGCGCAATTCGGCTAATAACCATCCGATTCCATGTGTGGAGGAGGGCTGTGCGTTAGAGATTATCGCGCTCTTTCCAATGGCTAGCAAGCACTAGTCAGAGATTATGAAATTGGTATCTATGTGAGCACCCCCTATGAGAAGAATGACCACTCTCACTGGTTAAGTCTGGCTAATACAGCTCCAGTGATGGACCTCGGGGGTGCTATCCATTTTCAAAAAATGAGCTATCCTAAATGGGCTGATAGTTACCCCTTTCGTCAAAGAAAGTGGTTTTAAAAGTCTGCCCTCCCCCATCAATAGGAAAACGAAGTGTGGAGAGAGTGGGGTCTCATGACGTTTCTCCTCCATCTAACCAATCAATAGAGGGCTTGGTGCGTTAAATTTCTACTTAGGTAGGAGTTAAGCTAATTGAAACGATCAATACGAATTTGTAAGAATAGAGGAAGGGGAGATGGTAGCGTTGACAAGCAATCTATGCAACTGCTTTGCAAGGAAGGAGTTGGTGACTTTGAAAATTCAAAAATGATAAGTTATTTACTGGGCAATAGAATTTTTGCCAATTGGTAAACTATCCCTTTTTAGGGTGAGAATGGTGATCCAGGACCGCGTGGTCCAACTGGACCTCAAGGTCCAATTGGTTTCGACGGTAGAAGGGGTCCCAAAGGAATGCCAGGTTTGCCTGGTGCTAAGGGAGAAAAAGGAGCTCGTGGTGATCCAGGAGACGTGGGTGCCACAATTCAAGGTCGTCCAGGTGAACCAGGTGATGAGGGTGAGCGTGGTGCAACTGGACCCGCAGGACCAAAGGGAGAACAAGGTCCCATTGGTGACGAAGGACCTCAAGGACCTGCCGGAAATGCTGGACCCCCTGGTGAGCGTGGTGACACTGGGCCAAAAGGAGAACGTGGTGAACCCGGCCCTGAAGGACCTACTGGTTATCGGGGTCCTCCTGGCGAGAAAGGTTTCCCTGGAGAAAGAGGTCCTGATGGTTATCCGGGTCCTGCCGGACCTACTGGTGATCCTGGACCAGAAGGACCACCTGGACGCTGTGTTCCTGGACCTTCCAGTCAAAAAGGTGAACCTGGATCGATGGGTCCCACAGGACCAATTGGAGAAAAAGGCCTCCCCGGTAGGAAATTTTACTCTTCTTTTTGCCACCCTCTGAATAAAAGTACATCTCATGCTTATGCTTTTGGCTTGAAGGTCTTCCTGGAAAAGTTGGAAAGCAAGGACCTCCTGGAGTTCCTGGTCGAGGAATTCCTGGTCCACCTGGAGATCAAGGTGATCCTGGTTTCCCCGGTCCTGATGGTTAGTTTGCAAATTTTTATCATTTGACAGAATATGGAAAAAATGAACCAACCAATTTGGTTTGAGTCCTTTGTTCGGTCATAAAATTTTGGGTTTTTTACTCTAGGTCCAAAGGGAGAAAAGGGTGAGAGAGGTGATCCTGGCGACTCGGGTCCCCCTGGTCCAAAGGGTCGTAGAGGCCCTTCAGGTCCCAAGGGTGATCGTGGTGAACCTGGTCAAAATGGTTTGGACGGACCACCTGGTGAAGCTGGTGACCCTGGTCCTGAAGGTCAACCGGGTCAAGACGGAGAACCAGGGCGACGCGGTGCTGACGGACGTCCAGGAAAGAAGGGACCCAAAGGCCCACCTGGTCTTCGTGGTGATCCAGGTGACCAAGGACCTATGGGAGATGAGGGCCCAATGGGACCGATGGGACCATCTGGTGATGATGTTGATGGTGTTGTTGGCATTAAGGGTGAAAAGGGTGAACCCGGTCGACCAGGTCCAAGAGGACCAGTTGGTGATCCGGGTCCTGTAGGTATCGACGGACCTAAAGGTGAACGGGGTATCACTGGCGAGCCGGGAGTTCAGCCTGGACCAATGGGAGAAAAGGGCAATATGGGACCTAAAGGACCTCGGGGTGAACAAGGTTTGCAAGGTCCTGAAGGAGACCGTGGTCCATCAGGACCTCCTGGACCTGCTGGACCTACAGGGCAGGTCCTTGCGAGTACCTATCTCTTCACCCGTCACTTCCAAGACCCTAGTGCACCTGTTGATTGTCCCGCTGGTTCCCAACGCATTACTGATGGATATAGCTTCGTAATGGCTAATGGAAACGGTGAACTCACAACAATGGATCTCGGAAGTCACAGCTCCTGCCTTCCAATGTTCAGCATCATGCCATTTTTCCAATGTCTTAGGGATGGTACCTGTCAACTGGGAGTGAGAGCTGACCGATCTTATTGGTTGGCGACAACAGAACCTCTGCCGATGATGCCCCTCGACGTCAGTGAAGTACGTCAGCGAGTGGCTCGTTGTGTGGTCTGCGAGGCACCTACTCAAGCTTACGCCTTCCATAGTCAAAGCAATAGTCTTGATGATGTTCACTGCCCTGAGAACTGGATTGAGTTATGGAACGGCTTCAGCTTCTTTATGGTAGACTAAATTAGATTTATATTTTTCAAACATAATATTAATGGTTTCTTTACATTTTTTGTGCATTTGTAGCACACAGCAGGATATGGAGGTGGTGGACAACAGTTGTCCTCACCGGGTAGTTGCCTTGAGCACTTCCGTTACGCACCCCTCTTGGAGTGTAACAACGGGATGAGTCTGTGCAATTACTGGAGCGACGCAAAGGCCTATTACATGCGCCATGTGCAGAATTCAACCTCCTTCCAGAAACCGCAAGGCCAGTACATGCGGGAGAGCACATATGGCGACGCAGGAGTTCTACGCGAGATCAGTCGATGCAGAGTCTGCATGCGACAACCCTATCAGTTTCATCGACGACGGTAAAGGCCTTCTAAATACCTGATCTCTCACTCGCTCTCACTCCAAGTCCTTGTATCCGCTTACATCCCCTTATAGCGAATATAATTTGTTCTTTTTTTGTTAAATTAGGTAATCTTTTGCATGTGACTCTTAACCTCTCGATCCACTTCTTACCCTGACTTACATTGTCCCTCCCCCCCTCACCTAGTTGATGTTCTCTATTTTCGAAAAAAAGAAAGCAAACTCATAAGATCTCACTCCATTTCTCTAAAATTTCCAAAAATAGTATGATTTTATCGCACGCTTCTTTTACAAATCTCCTTTACCTCCCGTCTCCATTCCCTTTAAATGCTTTCCCACTCAAAGGGGTTTGTTGTTTGTCTGCCTGTCTTTTTTCCCTCTTCTTTGACTCTGTGATGCTGATGATGATTCTAACATCTGCTGTTGATAATGGTGTTGGTGTAAAAATAGCCTAGTTCTATCTCTGGTTAGACTCTTCGTTTTGTTTTTCCTCATCCTCCTCCGCCTCCTTCTCCACCTCCTAGCTTCGGACCAAATGCTCTCCAAGGTGACAATAATAGGATTATGAGTTCGCAAGTCGTACTAATAAGCTGATTTGCCATGGGGTGAAGGTGGGGGTGGGGGGTGGTTGAAACTCACTATGCTAGTCAAACTTAAAAAGTGTAGTTGGGCATTCTGCTTACTGCATCTACGCAGATGAGCATCGTTCCAGTAACCTCTCTCATGACAGACAGAAATGTACTTCCCAAGTTTTGTGAAAATGGCAGTAGGCTATCTCACTCGACTTCAGCGTGAAATTTAGAGCTTATCTTCACGAAACTACCAGTAAACAGCAGATTTCCACAAAAACAGAAGACCAGGAGCTAATATGGATCATTCGTGCATTGGCGGTCGTTGAAACCTGATTTAAAAAGGAACTGCATATGAACATCTAATAAAGTAGTTGATTACGGGCTTCTAAAATAGGCTAATGTAGGATACTGATTAGCTGAATATCGTCTATAAATTTGAATAAGCTATTTTTATCCGCAGTTACGATAACGACCTCGCGATAAAATGAGTGAGCGAATTTACTTCGCGTAGTCAATCTCGTAACTACCTTTTTCATTCGCTTGTAGGTTCATAGCGAAGATGGAAAAATAAAAACATTATAATTGACGCCGAGGACAATTTTAAATTTCACTGCCAACAAACAAAGAGGAATTTATTTCTGGTTAAATTCTGAGAGTACTGTAATTCACTTAATTGATTGGCGTTAACTAGATTTCTGAAAGGTTTATTTAAGGAACACGGGATAAGTAAACCCTTGATCAAGCTTTTAACACACGAGGTGCAAAAAATGTATGACGTCAAGTAATAGGAGCCTATTATTTCCGTCCCACTGCGTGGCCTATTTTTTTTAACATTCCGACCAATGTATTCACAATATAAATGGAAAAATTTGGACAAGATTTGTATTTAAAAGACATAAAGAGATAATAAAATTGTAATCAAACGGAAGTATTTACAATTTGGGTAACAAAACAGTAGGATGAAAGACTATAAAATAGGCATTATTGCAAATTGTGTTAATGTCAAAAATAAACGTCTCCAATTGCCTTCATTCCTCACCCACCATCATAGAATCATCTTTATTTTTGGCTAAAATGCAAGAGAAAGGTGAATAAATGGGAATTATAGTATTTGTGGGTTCAAGAAAATTAAATTTTGGAAAAAAACGTTAAAATAGCTTAAATTGGCAATTGTAGAGGTTCATAGAAGAAATACTAAACGAACCAGAATAAATGTTGAAAGGGGCTTCAGAACCAAACGTTTCTTGAGAGAGCCAGGTTTCATCTTCATAGGAGACTTCATTATAACAGAGGGATTCACCACGGGAATACGCGCCATCAGTGCCACTTTCATTTCCGAAGGATTGTCTTACTAAGCAATAAGATTCAGGAGAGCGAACTTCCACCATGTTGCATAATTTGCATTCACTACAAATATGAAGATTACATAAAGTCAACTTACCGAGGCATAGCTTTAGGACCATTAGGCATGTTTGAAAGGGGACTTTTAAGGTAAGTTCTTCTTGCTCCACCATGGTGCGGCTGTCTAGTTCGCCGGGATATTTCGTCGCAAGCGAAAATTATAAGTAACTACTGAACTAACCAATATGCAAAATAACTTACATCATCGCAACATTTGGCGCCCACAATAGATCTATAGTTCATTCGGGCCCAGAGGCTTTCTTTCTTCTGAAGAAATGAAGAAATTTTGTTTCTCCAATTAGTTCCAAGAGCCCAGGGGAAAATTTCATACTTTAAATCCTCATCATCTTCCTCAATGTCATGTGCAAGGTACCTTCAACAAAATTAAAGCTACTACAAGCTTACAGGCAGCAGAAAAAGTTAGTTCTTGTATATTCATTTAGGGAGAAATTGCAACGTTTGAAGTAAACGAAGGTCATCACCAACAAATACTGAAAATATAAATTTATTAAGTAAATTAAATTTTGAAGCTCACCTTATCAGCATATCGGAAGCATTTATCAAACTGAAGGAATTTACTTATAACAGGGTCAAACACTAGCAAGTGTATATAATAATTTCAAGGCTTACAAATTAAATTAAGAAACTGATCAACCTCTTCTTGATTTATAATACATATGCTGCGTTCAGGATTGCGGTTAATTAATGATAATGTTTGATTTTCTTTTGGCTGTACTTCCTGTGTGCATTTGTTAAATCGAGAAGTGAAAACTGCATGAGAAATTTCTGAAGGCGTATATCTAACATTCTTTTTCTTCACTAATATCGATTCATCCAGATTTACACAATTGCCAACAGTTGCATTAATATCATCGAACCATTCCATAATATCTGATTTCACGCGATATCAGCACGCAACTTCAAAACGACAACGTTATAAATATCGATACCGATTACGCGTGATTAATTATATAAAACATTTATGCATTTATTATGTATATTATTGTATAAGTAAGAAAAATGCATTTTAAATCAATAAAAAATATCTGTCTTGAGATGATTCAGTAAGGTTATGTTTCATTTAAATGACATAAAAGATCTACTTTGTTAACACAGTTAATTCAATTAACATCGATGGCCAAAAGGTGTCATGAATATTTTAGCATATTCTAGCTTTAATGAAAAGTTTCAGCAATTTTTCAACTTGAAAACTGTTCCTATCATAAGTTGGCTGTCAATTGCATAAATTGGCCCTTGACTATCTCGATAATACAAGCATTTACAGGCCGATAAATTAAAGTATTTTTAAAGAACCAGCACACTTATAATCGCATTTATTCGATATTTGGCCTAACTAAAAATTAGAATTATATATTAACCTTTATTTAGCTCCAATCAGTTATCAAAATAACACAAGAAGTATTCCATAAGAAAGCAAATTTTATTTTTCCAAATTTGGAAACCATTTTGTTATCTATTTAAGGATAATAGAAACAATAATCAAATATCAATCTACTTTCGCATGAGCAATCAGTACAGTATCATTTGCAAAACAAGATAATAATTCGTACAATTCCAAAATAAGCTTATTTGCAATCGTTATGATTATTAATATTAAAAGAAAGATTGTCTGTATTCATTCCAATGAATTTTTATTTGATTCTGCTGAATTTTTGGGAATAACTTTCGTCATACTTTTATTCATATTTATTATTACATCATTCTTAGTAGAATGGCATCATTGTCACTAGAAATATGAAATTTACAACATGAGACTGCTCTCCATACTCATAGACTTTCTTGTATTCTTTCATGTAATTTTCCAAAATAGTACTTGCATATTCAATATAACTTGGTGTTGACGACTGTGTCAAATTATATTTTCATTACTTCATTTAGAGATTTCAAACAGCTATAAGTAGTTAGGTGGCATTCGTAGATGTGTTTTAAACACGACAACGATTAATGCAACTAAAGTCAGGATGGTAAAACTCTCTAGGCAGCCATACCGAAATTGGCCACATATACACCCCAAACATAGAACCAATAACCTTCTAAGACTGGCAGGAAACCACCGCCATCAACGAGTAAAAGGGTTGCTTTGAATAAATTTGAATTGGACAAGTGGATGGAATAAGAATGAAGAGAATTGGGGGAGTGCAAGGAGGAATTATGAGGAAACAGAACCGTGCTAAATGAACAAAGTCAATTCAGCACTGAAACACTGATAGTTTTTGTTACTATAGGGAGAATAAATAATTTGAAATCAGAGTGTGCATTTACTCTCATCTATTTACTATTTCTCTTAAATTTTTGTTAAGGGATATCTTATTTAACCACAAGAATCAGTTATATTCTACCTCTAAGCAATTTGTCTTTTGTTGTTTTTTTCTTTATATAAGAATGTTTCGTTTTGCTATTTCTTTGAGATACCCGCAACTCCGATTTACTATGAAAAGGGCCTAAATTTCAATTTCACTTAAAATTCGATGCACTTTCCACTTAGTTCTAAATTATTTTCGAGTTAAGTACAATTATTATCCTGACCCAATACCAATAATTTCGATAAGTTCAAATACTTATAGTAAACTATTCAGATAAATTACAAGTAGTTCAATTAATTGGTTCAAGCGAAAATTTATGCTTTTGAAAAAAGTTCCCCTCTCTCTTTCACAAGGAAAGCTTCATCGGGATAAACATTGTAATGACGATTGCAAAATTATAATTTGATTGATTTTACGAAATAAATATTGACAATTTTTCCTTTAATCTTTTGTTTTTTGTACATTATGCATTGGTCGGTCATCAGATGCTTGATGAGATGAATTTTCGAGTATTCTCGGGTTCATTACCCAGTTCGAACTAAAGAAAACGAACTTCCACTGGCTATTTCGGATGCTTGCCAAGACTTGCCCTCTAAAATCCTCAATATATTAAGTTTACATTGGCCGGAATTTATCCCACAATACTTATTTCGAATAGCAGACCATATGACACTTATCATTAACCCTTTAGTTGACTTTGGGCTTCACGGAGGGAGGGGAGGAACAGACAAAGTCACAAAAAGTGGAGAGAGGGGGGGGGGAGGCGGACAGACACAAAGGCTGATTAAAGGTAAAATGAGTGCTGTGGAAGTGCTCTGACATGGCATACGGTCGGATCCTGGTTGCTTGAAGTCAGTGAAGTCAACAACCGGTTAGCGGACTTTTTGCCGTATGAGTATACATTGCTCAGAGTGCACTACGTGGAGGTTGGTCTATAGCGCACCTTTCGACAATTTGGTGATATCGTTTCCTTAATAATAAAGTTCAAGTCCTTCAGAAATCGCACCTCGGAAGTCACTTTTCGAGTGATCAATACACGGTATCATGAAATGCCTAAGTTTGCTGTGTTGTAAATAAGTTGCATATCACCAGATGCAGAAAATTTTGATAAAATGACCTAATCTAATAAGCAAACTGACGCGAACGAAGACAAGTTGAATTGTTACGTAATAACACGTTGATTGTCACATCACGGGAAAAAACGCAGCCTCGATAATTAAATCTTACGCAAATTAAGCACGGTGCTATTAAGAGGGCTGGGTGTATGTATTTTGGGTAATTAACAATAACTGAGACCGTCTCATATCAGGCTACCAGGAAAATAACACACCACCTCCTCCCCCCTCCTCCTACTCTCTTTCTATTTCCTTGGGTTTACGTAAAAAGCTCGACTTGATGCTCTTCCCATTCGTCAACTCAAGATCCACTCCAACCCTTTTCCGGCAAATACTACCTACAACTCCGATAACGCCAAATTCCCAGCTTCTTCGATATCCACCTATGTGTACAACATCACAACCTCATTCGGTACTGCCTCTATTAACCCCTCCTCCTGGAATAGCAGACAGAGAAAGAAAAAGGACAACAAGGGCACATTCGTTGCTCAACTCGATTTTATTCTATAAAAAAAGAAACTGAAGGAAAAATAACTGTACAGTGATAAAAGCATCTTTTTATTGACATCAATAGGTGGTAGTGGTGGTGGTGGAAGTGCATATATATATATATATAGGAGTGGAGGGGACCTACAGAATAATTCACCGCCTTCTCTCACAGCAACACAAAGTGGGGAGGCGAATTCGAACACACCAGAAAACACAATATCCTGTTTTCTTCAAAACGCTGCCATATTGAAGAGACGAGGGGTGGGTTTGATTTCCTCAAAGCCTCATGTAAGTCTAGTCTTTTGGTGATCTGAAATCATCTTCGACCGTTGCGTCAACCACTGGCATTGACGACTACAATGAAAATAAACCAGTAAATTAGAAATATAGCTTAAATAGAGAAGAGAAATTAAGAAAAAAAGTAAAACCAATGAGACTGTCGTAACATTACGATAAATGTAGATGGCACAGTCAACACTCAAACTAAACTGCGTGGAGCAACGAGAAGGAATTCGCTTATTCAGGATCTCGCAGTGATCGTTTTAGTGCAAGCAACGTAAAACTAGCGATTTCCTGACTTAATTAATCTGCTATAATTAACTATATAATTATTTTAAGAGTAAAGCTCGAAGTCTTCAAAAAATAAATTAGATTAATACCGCAGAAATACTTCAGGAAACAGCACAATCCGAAAGCCATAATTAATGAAATGGAACAACAATTTTAAGAGATTTAAGAGAATTAAGAAGTTGACAGAGAAAGGAATTCAAAGTTCTCATCCTCACATGTATTTAGAGGATGAACTATCCAAATTGACCTATAAGAAAATAAGCAAATTTAAAAAAATACAACCAACAAATGGGATACACCTGACGACACGTGAGAGAAACCTGAAAGAAGATTAATCATATATGGAGTTCTGTTCAACAAACTATTCAAGAAAACAGGAATTGAAAAATAATTTGCTAAAATCTCCTCATACTTTGGGTGCCCCACTAAACAATTGAGAAGAAATTGCCCACCATACTACCACCTCCAAGATGACGCTATACTTAACTGAGAATAAACACTGAGAAGAAAACAAACTAAAAACATCTCAATGACAAAGAATAACCTGTTTACCAAGGCCAAAAGAATGCTTTTATCAGCTAGCAATGAAGGATGGCATATGACGAAGTTATGCATGACAAGATTTCTTTCAAATTTGGCGCAAGAAAAACACGATAACGAAAAGAATGGATAAGACTGAAATAACTTCAAAACGGAAAAGTAGTCGACATGATAATTCTTGAGGTCAGATGAAGTAGGATTCTACCGATTCTCTGGCACGCTTCTACTAACACCTAAACAACCTCTTCCCACGTTTTTAGATACTACCCAATCAGGTAGGTAGGTGTAAGAAATAGTAGTAATGAAGTGCGAAGATCTATAGAGAATGCCAATATGGGGAGGGGTGTGTGAAGGTGAAAGCAATAAATTATCTGCTGATAAAACAACTTGTCGTAGAGCAAACACGCAAGAACAAAAATTAAGTAGATGAAGAAAGTAATACAACCAGAGACGCCACCATCAATACTACCTACATAATCTTTGTCTCCATCAAATTCCATTAAATCAGAACAATCCCCTGCTGTCACCGAATTTTGATCGCAGATTACGCCTGCCGTCTCCTCACCAGTTAGACAAGGAGGCTGATTGAATGAGAGAGTCAGTTGGCGGCCGTGGAAGATAGTGAAGGTTCGCAAGGCACGCTCAGCAAAATCACGGGTTCGGAATGTGATCTCCATCACCGGCTCCTTCTCACTTCCACATGTGAATGACTGGAAAGACTCGGTGTGGAAGTAGCCATTCTAAGGTAAGAGAATAACGAACATTAGTGTCATAAATGAGAGGAAATTTAGCACGTTCTCAGTGATAGCTAATAAAGCAGTAGGATGATCTGACTTCCAGTCTCTTTCCTCCACATATCTAAACTTTGAGAATCGCTGTTAAACCTAAGCATAATAACTTCGACGATAATAATCGTAACTTCACAAAGAAGTGAGAAATGTGGTACATTGGACATTGAGATTTAGTTCTTCAACTTTGAATGTCCATAAACTCCGCGCCTCTAAGTCCTCTCATAAACATGACTCAGATATATTATATTCAACGATTGTGCAGTGTTATAGTAAAATCAATTCTTAGCGAGATTAGACTTGTCTCTCTGCCTTTACGCGGTTATTTATTTACTACAACGAGCTAGGACAAGTCTGTCCACAAGTCTTAAAATATAATGGTTTCCTGCACTCATTTTAGGTAGGGTAATGGGGCAAAATGGAAGGAAAGTCAAACTAATTGGAAAGATTTAATCAATGCAAATGGCCATTCCGATTAAGGCGTCTAAGAAAATAGTACCCTGGTGAATTGTTAATGAAGAAAATTGTAAGAAAAAACAGTGAACACTTACATGGAGAGCTCGACGAAAAGCCTCGACGTCGCCAAGAGTGTGGCCGGTGACGTAGATGACCCGTGGCCTATTGTCCAACTTGGTATGGGGTCTATTAGCGAGAGCTGATTGCGAGTCAATAGCAGCCAGATCGCTGGGTCGAATGGTCTCCAAATCGACTAACTATAGCAGAAAATTGGATTAAATGGGTAAAAGTACTACCAATCACACTTAATTAAGAGTTGATTAAAAGGGAAAGGGATAATAAACTCGAATTAAGAAACTACAAATGCGAAGGAAAAGAAAAGTCAGCAAACCTATTATACTACTGTCTTTGGCCGCTTTGAACTGAACATGATAACTGAAATAAGCAGACTTGGTGGATATATTCATAGCATGAGAGAACAGCTTATTATTAACTAAGTCGAGCAAAGCGCAAAGGGAGTGGTAACATGACAGACTCAAGTTTATGAGCTGCTTTAGACAATAAAAAGGAGTAGACAAAAGAGAACCACTGAAATCTACATAACCATTCAGTGGAATTATTGTTAAAAAGTAATAACTAAATCATGAATTCCCTAGTCGCATAATCAGTAAGAAAGAACTTCTATCAAACATTACGAGCTAAGTGTTTACCTGTCTCTTGAGCTCAGTAACCTTCTTGCGTATCTCAGTCTGTTTTTCAGGATCGCATTCCTCAGATTGCAGTTCTAATTCCGCCTCAGCTAGTTGTTTCTTCACATCAGCGATCTTTTCAAGTCGTTCGGTAGCAATGCTATCAGGTAGCATTTGTTGCACCGTTTTCTGTTGTTTCGTGTCATCCAATCGTTTGGGAGCTAGCGGGATAGACTGCTTGAGCTCATTGATCTTCTCAAACAGATCATTCGCTTTCTTGAGAAGACTGCGTTTGAGTAACTTCTCTGTACATCTCTCCGCAGAGGCAACAGTCTCCTTGAGTTCAGCCTTGAGTTTGGCAATCTGAGCCACCCTCTCGCGTTCGGCGTGGCGACGAGCTGCACGCTGTTTCTCTAACTGCGCGAGTTTGGCCTGATGCTCCTTCAGCGCTATCGACTTTTGACGCTCCCAGAGGGCCTTCTTGCGGGCAGCTTCAGCCTCCGCCACCTCTTGATCTGCAAGGCTCAGTGAATTTCGGGAGGATCGCTAAAAGGAAGCCGTATTAAAGATGAATTGCTAGCAAAGGTTAATTTCTATCGATTTTCCTCAAGAACATGTCAATTACCTGCATAAATAGTCTACTTTTATCATCAGAGAAGTAACTATTTTGCTTATTAACATAATAACACATCGACAAATTTTATTTATTCAAACGCCTTCTGTTCTGGTATATCGCAATTGAGAACAGTCGGCCACCTGATTCAAGATTGCAACAGGGTGTTAAAATAGGAGAAAAGCTATTTAAACAGCTGACTACTTAAGTTCTACTTAACTTGTTTAATATTCCATGCCAAACTGAGTGTGCAGTCAATCCCATCTTCCACTCTTCCCCTTAAATTGTTGTTGTCACTTGTATGTCAAATCTCCTTGCTATCAGCCCCTTTTACCTAAACGCTATCAGCCCTTGGTCCCAACCAGTACAAGCGTAAGCGCCGCAGCCACTTCTTGTTTTGGAAAGTGTCCATAAGAGTGAGTTGAACATTTTTCCATCGTGAGCTGGTGTATTTCATGGGGTCTAAAATCTTTAAGGCACATTAAGTATAACAATCGAGTTCACTAGACGATTACCATTTGAATCCCTCACAAAGGAACAATCGAAAAAAATTTAACCACATTTTCTCTCACATTCTCGCTATCAGTTGACATAGTTGCTATATTTCCCCTACATCAGTGGCTAAGAGACTGAGTCTGAATAATTGGTTACTTAAGTAATATAAGTTACCCATGTGGGAGCATCCCATTCGAATTTTAATAGTCCACTATAATGTAACATTTGGAGTATAAAGTGGCATGAAAAAAAGGTAGGTCATGGAACCTATCCGAAAATTCACGTGCTCTTAGCTGATTCTGAATGTATCAAATGCTTATCCCCTTCCAAAACCTATCCAAAATCTGACACGAAAATATACCCATCCTCCACTTCCCTCTCGTAATTTCAGGTTCTTCTTCTTCTTCCCCACTCACCACCAAAGACAAATTGACTTACGCGCAAAAAACTATCACCCACCTCGCCAAACTCTGAACAGCGGAAACGCTTCCTGTTGTTAACTCCACTGCCAGCAAAGACGTTATCATCATCATTATCACCAGCACCAATGTCCAGAATAGCGGATCCTGCCGAATCCTCACCACCCATCATCTCATTTCGTAAATCTTCATCCTCTTGGTCCTCATCCTCGTCTCCACTAATCGGATTGCCATTTTCATCCCTCTCTAGGCGCCAGCGAGACCTACGACTACTGCTCGAAAAGGTTTTGGCATCTGTAGTTAAGGAGATTACTGCGGCATTAGGACCACCTTTTTCATCACCCCGATAGGTCCGTTTGAATGCACCACTTGGGCCTTGACCCAAACGTAACTTGGCTGGTAAACGAGACGGGTGGGCATCACCCAACAGAGCCTAAAAGAGCACAGAATGATCTTGATAATACAAGAGAAAAGCTTAGAAAACGAAGCAATGGAATCAATACAAAAACTAAGATAAAAAAGACACCAATTGTTGCCAAATGCGAAAAATAATATTCATTAATGAATATTAGTACTTTTGCAATTCTGCATAAAATGCAAACCTGGAACTAGCCAAGCTTCAATTACAGGGAAGCAAGACCAATGACGTCTAAATTTTATCTTATCTTTAACTAAATACTTTGAAGATAAAAAGTTCAAACGAGTTCACTGGTTCTGTGAAGTCATTCCACAGGCCATTCATCATAAACAAAATTGAACCATCTTTTCAAACCTGCTAACTACGCACCTTAATCATACTTTTAATAATTGCAAATTAAAACAACACCCACATTTCCAAACTGACTGAAACCGAGACTGTCTTTATTGTATCCGCTCCTATACGCCCCACCTCCGTGTCTGAATCGGCCTCCGCTATTGTTGTTAGAATGAGGATAGAGGTAAGTCCGAATGAATCGATTAGAGAGGATTGGATCAGGACTGCGATAGGCAACTTCAGCCTCTCCTGGAGTTGTATAAGTGATCAGAGCTTGTGAGTTCTGACCCGAGTAATGAGTCTGGATGCTGACAATACTTCCAAATCGAGCAAAGTGCTCTCGTAGGATTTCAGCATCATTCAAGCGCCAGGGGAGTTTGGTGACAAGGAGGGAGCATTGCTGACCTCCAGTCTGGTTGATTGGACTCGGGGTATAGTCAGATGTAGTGGGACCCAAGGAGAGCTCATTTCCACTTTTCTCATCATCCCCAGGCAGCTTTGTGTCTGATAATTCAGGTCGAGCTGGTTCATAAGCAGGCGGGATCGTTGAGGCGGGATCGTAGGCGTTGTTGGAATCTACTGTAGGGATGGGAATGATATTCTTGTTGTTTGCCAAATTAGAACGCGGACGATGGGAGTGTCCCGACTTGCGTGATAGGGGCTCAACGACTATTGATAATAGAGCAAATGTAAATCAATTAGTTTCATCTAAAAAAGTCTACTAATAATGCTGTAGATTGCTGCCCATGACTATGACTGCAATTATAAGCAGTACTTTTAAGCTAAGCAAAACAAAAGCGGACATACACAAAGTATTTGATAAACAAATTTCTTTCAAACGATTCGCTCTAAGGGAAAGTCAGAAATTTATAAGTAGCCCATGAAAATGTCAGAGGATAGGAAAGGCATAATCTAAATCGAGAAAAGTGGCATCTGAAAAAATCGAAATTGTGAGCACATGTAGTAAACATAAAACAAAAGGCACAATTCAATAAAAGGTGAGTTTAGGGTAGTGATATTTGTGAAATCAGCACCTACAGAAAAACGGGAAATAATGCTTAGGGGTTTATTTTTTAATGATTCCATGTGTATTGGAAGCTAAAGGTATTCATAATCTAATGGGAAAAAATCGATCAATGAATAGTTGAGACGGTATTAAAACTGCGAAAAGAACTAAAATAGAAATGTAAAAGGTCTTGATGCATTTACGGGAGGTACATAAACTGGTGGTCAGCTATTAGAAATAAGGGCAAACTCTCCAATGCACAAAGCTAAAGGTTTTCCATCGAAAGGAAAAGTTTAAAATATGTATAAAACTTCATAAATGCACAATAGCCAAAGATTTATACTCAAACAAAATTAACATCAAATCTTGTGATGTATAGGTAAGCAAGCACCCACGAACTAAATCAGAGCTTCAGGTAACAGATAAACTCAAAGGCAATCTCTTTAACCAAAACTTCAAATATTCTACGAGAAAATAAAAGACCACTTAGTGTAATTTAGTTAAAGTATAAAAACGCAGTGAAAAATAATTAAAGCTACACAATGAAACAGAGAAAAAAAGGACATTAAGCATTTAATTAACGACAATTATTGAATATCAACAACAACTTGGTTGGACGAAAATAGAAATCCTATCTTGGCCTTGAAAATAAATCGACAAAAAAACATTTTCTTCAATCAAATGACTATGAAAGCATAATCGGAACTTGATATCAAGAAAGATTTTGCCCTCAACAACATTACGACTAGATTGCAAAAAGGCCCTACAAGTCCCATGAAAAACAAAGGGAATAACATAAACCTTGACACTCTAAAATTTGAACAGTACTCCCTTCTATTTGTATTGTCAGATGCCACACAAGTTAATAACATTCAGCCTTACTTTCCACGAAAAGAGCCACAAGAGTTCAAAAAAGGTTAAAATGTATTAAACAAATGCAAAAAAACGTACTAGGCGTGGGGTTATAGGTAGGTATATCAGCAGATATCATTTCTGTGCATTCGAGATTCGAAGGAATCAAATTTTCACCGCCAGCACCCCCCAAAAGCCCACTAGGCCCATTAGCAGGAGTCGGAAGCAAACTAGCCCCAGAAACAGCGATAGCAGTGTCGAAAAGATTTGCAGCAGCAGTCCAGGAAGCTGGAACGACAACAGGATTACTCCCATGTTCGTACTTACAACGATCACCGTAATTGCAGAATCCCTTCTCGTCAAAATTGCGACATCTAGGACGTTGAATATGCTGCTGCTGGAGATGTACGTCATCAGATATCTCTTCAGGCATTCTGCTACGAGATCTGTCGCATCTGCTGCGATCATAAGGACGCTCTGAGCGATGATGAGAGGAGTTCCTGACGTTAACATCCTCGGGATTGTATTCATTATGGTGCTTTAGTGATTTAGATACTTGATGGCGTTCACGTCTACTGCTATTATTTCCTCGAGAAATACTTTTCTCATCTAATTCCTCTTGTGGTGATCTAGACCTCGGATATTTCCCAGATGATCTGTGAGGTGATCTGGATCTGGAGCGATTGCTTCGTAGGCGACGAGTTGGACGTTCAGGTGAAGGGTCATTAGGTGAAGCTGGGGAGACGGCAATAACTTTAAACATTTCTTCGACGAAATTATTAGTTCCGTCACCAAGAAGCTCGTACAATTGATCAACGCAACAACTTTTAAGTTCTTCAAGAGGTTTAGGCTTGCTCAAAAGAACACAAATATACTTGAACAAAGGATTGAGATCGGTCACGGATCTAAAGACAAATATATATTGAACGCAAGATTAGGAAGCACATTATGAATACTGATTCTGTGCACAAAAATACGATTCGAGAATTTTTTAATAAAAATAGATAACACAGGTTCTAAAAAACAGGGGTTGTCAAGGTGCCTAAACTATAAACAGTAGTCAAAATTTAAAAATGCAAAAGAATACTAATAGTTTGAACAATATCAGTGTCAATTAAATAACAACTGCTCTTACAGTGCATCGATTTTAGCGTTTAGCCACTTATTAAGGGCTCCCTTATTGAATCGCATGTCAAAATCGAAAGCTATTACCAATCAATATCAAGCAGAGCTCACAATTTTATTTTAAAACAAGCTTAAATAAACAAATACATTAAAATGGTTAAAACCATTAAATGTTTTGGTTAAATAAACGATTTACGCATCATTTGTGAAACAATATTTTAAGTACACTTAAAATAAATATATATTATTAAATATGTTGTGTTTATTTCCCATAAAATAAATAATTCTGCTTGCGTTGCGTGTATTATACACTTTTTGTTTTCTAAATACTGAAGAAGGTAGAAAGACAAACATTTCATCTAAAAATTACCGTCTTTTGTCATTTTTTCGTAATTTATTGTGATATAGGTACGCGCTTGCGTTTGTTTTATTTTTAATATCACTTTGTTTTACCTTTTAATGTTAGTATTTTGCCCTGCCATAACCAAAATATTTTCCTTGCAATATACCACCGACAAACCCATTGTTAACCTCGATTATTGTGGTTTGGACGCATAATTTCAGTGAACTTCAGACATCCGGTGGTACAATAATTACACCACGTATTTTCATCCTTTACGCCCTTATTTGATTAATGTGGTCCCATCTTTCCTTCTTTCCCTTCTTTCCCTTCTTTCCTCTTTCATTTCCCATCACCAATTAGTGCTTATTGTGCATAAAGCCTTAACATATTCAGATTTTGCACGTCCCTTGGTTCCATTCCTATTCCAACAGTCATTAGTTAAAAATAGATGTAAACCTAATAAAAAAGAATTTTTCTCTATCGTAATGGCATATATTAACTTATTAACAGTATTGATCATTAAAATATTTCCAGAGTAATCTACAAAAACCTAGAATACCCCAAGAAATTTGATCGCACCCTTGCATACGGTCAAAATTAAAACTCTTGAGACGAATACAAAATCCGGAAATCTATATCAGTCCAAGGGTTTACATTTCAGACATACGTTTCTGGATATACACCAACTAATTAGGACTCATTGAAATAAAAGAGCTATCATCAATCACTTAACTCAATGAAGACATTAGACTAACCTTACTTGAGTCAGTAATTTATTTATTTCAAATGGCAGGCGTTTTGATAGCTATCATTAACCATTTAGCTGATTTCGGGCTTCACAGAGGGAAGGTTCATCAAAGTAGTAGAAAGTCGAGGGGTGGGGAAAAGATGCAGACAGACACGAAGATAAGGAAAAAGGTACGATGAGTACAGCGGAAGGGGTCGAATATGACAAGCAGTCGGGCCATGGTATTTTGAAGTCAGAAGTCAACTGTCGGTTAATAGACTTTTTTGCCGTATGAGTATACGTTGCCCAGAGTGCACCGCGTGGAGGTAAGTCTATCGCACACCCCAAAAAATTAACTGTAGCTTTATTTTTCTTTAAATGGACCAGACATGGACGTAGTGTTTCCTTAATAACATACAACAGTCCGATCATTTTTTGTAAGATCAAGATCAAGGGAGGTTGCATAGTGAAGTAGCTAGCAATTTTCAGCCTTTCAAATGGTAAATTTTGATATCAGAACTAGCATAAATTTCTGACAAAACTAAATTGGAAGTCAATTCAGATAATAGAAGCTTTACAACAGACTTATAGAGTCCCTAAGCCACGCAGAGCAATTATTTATGACAGAATTAGGCGCCTCAAAGTGGAAAGAGTACAGCTTGACGACGACTTACGAGGAGGAGGGAGATCCACCACAGCGAGGAATCAAGGAAACACCTCCATTGTATGTGTAGCGGATTGCTACGCTAGTAAAGCCTGACTGACTCAGAAATCTCTATGGCAGACTCCCCAACATCTAGCTAGACTCCCAGAACCAGCTAAGCTATAGCCCAGCTATGAAAGGAAACAGACGTGTAGCACGGAGCACGTTTATTCAGTATGTATACTGCGGATGAAGTGTATACGCAGTGAGCTTAATAACGATCAGGATGGCGGATTAGGTTAAACAGAGGTTAATGATTGGCCACTCTTTGTACGGTCGCACCTTCCAATCCTGGCGTGCAGGCATGCGATGACGTGTTCCACATACGTGACATAG